AGAGCCCCCCCCGCTGGCCGGTACCGGCGCCGGCACGGCGGTGCGGCGGTTGATCCACACGACGTTGTTGGACAGGCAGATCCTTCCGGTGTCGGCGCGGAGAACGACGGCAGTGGCGGCGGAGTGGTTGCGCGCTCCGTGCATGTAGAAGCAACGCACGGATTGGACGTCCGCCTTGCTGGCGCGCTTCACGCGCATCATCCCCTCCTGGAAAAAAGGGACGACGTTGAGCGGCGGTTTACGTCCGAAGAAGGCCTCAAGCCCATGTGATCCGGCCGGGTGCTAACGAGCTCAGCGCATATCTTTTAATCGCGGAACTAGACCATCAGGCAAGTCAGCGCTGACTAGTCGGATGGTCTAGTTCCAATCTCGCGACACATTCGGGTTCACGACTGAGGGGGACAGGACGTCGGATGAGGCGATGGCTGCGGCTAGGGCAGGCTGAAAATCTCGGATCGACGGAGACACTAAATCAACATCGATAGGCGGGGAAGCATCACTCGGAGGTACTACACCGGAAGTGGTGGACGGGATGCTCGAACTCGAAGGTACGACACCGGCAGCGCCGATGGGCGGGAAGCTCGAAGCCGAAGGTACAACACCGGCGGGACCGATGGACGGGAAGCTGGAACTCGGACCGCATCCTGCACCCGATCCTGAAATCTGAGAAGGGGGAGGGGGGTTTTGCGCAAAAAGGCCAGTACCAACACCAGGCGGAGACGCTTGGCGGACAACGGGGGGAGGGACAACGGTAGAGGGGATTACATCACCGTCGCGGTACGAGGGAGGCAAGCGGGTGGCCGATAGAGAGCATCCGATATCCGAGTATGCGAAACTAAGCCGACCACCGAAAAGGTGCACACCCCTCTCATCCAACATTATCCTGTGCTTTTTCTGCGTGTGGTGCAGAGAGAACAAGTTGAACGAAATCCCTGGTACTACGTACACGTCTGTCAATTGGACACAGAAATCCGCTTCTCCCGATCGACCTCCTGCCATGTGAAATGCCAGATTGACACTACCTACGCACTCCACGCGCAAATATGCACCATTGCCTACTTTGATGAATTCTTTGCCGGGGGGGACAGGCGAGATGTTGTACATCTTGGAGCTGTTACTCACAAAATGGTTGCTTGCACCGCTATCAGACCAAAATACCTCCCTCCCAGGACTGTATTCGCAACTCTGTGCAGACAAAGCAAAGCCAAGATCATCACCACATGCGACACTGCTTACATCACTCGAAACCGAAAGCGAACTCATCTCGTCAGCGGACACAAAGTGTGCCATCAGGGAGTGGAGATGCCCAGGCGGATAGGTTGCTGCTCCGGGAGAGGGCGACTGGGGCGGGGCATGGGTGGAGTGCTGCTGCTGCTGCTGCTGCGGCTGAAACGACGGCGGTGGCGGAGGCTGCGGTGGTGGCTGCTGCTGCTGGTAGTACGGTGTCGGAGGCGGGTAGTACGGCTGCTGCTGGTAGTAGTCTGGCGAAGGCTGCTGCTGCTGCAGCTGCTGCTCCCACCCGCCATACTCGGTACCATTCGCGGGCCCCCCGTAGGGCATAGCACTATACGCGTGCATCACAATAGCGTGCCCGTACGGAGGCCGCCAAGGCGGTTGTGGAGGACGAGGGGGCGCTGCATACCTGTGCTGATGCTGTCCTCCGTAGCCGCTGTGAGGTCCGTGCTGAGGCCCACCGCCCCAGCCCCCCCCACTGTAGCTCGGCTGCTGCGGCGGCGGTCCGTGAAGTTGCTGTTGCTGAGGCTGCTGTTGCTGAGGCTGCTGTTGCTGAGACTGCTGCTGTTGGGGCTGCTGCTGCTCCTGCTCCTTCCGACGGTCGCGCTGGGTGTAGCACTGGGCGTTGGTGTGGAACAAGCGCGGATGTAGGTAGCAGTGGTCGTTGTCGGCTCCTCTCTCACCTCCGCCTTTCTTGTTTCCTCTCACCCTGCTCCTGCTCCGACTCCGGGCGCCTCCGTCTACGTCCTGACCCCCGCCGTTTCCACTCGACCCATTTTGGACACGTCCATCGCCCCGGATGCCACCGGAAGGGACGAACGCGTGCCCCGCGCCATTCTTCGGTTCCCCCTCCCGACGGCGAACCGAGTCCGCATGAGCATCTCGCACAGCCTTTTCAATTGTCTCGCGCGAGGGGGGAATCGGTGACATGGTCAGAATCTTCTTCTCTACCGAGTACTCGTCGGAAAGGTGGTATACCATGTGGGCATTGGCATCATCGTCGGAGAAAACAACACTGTGCGAGGCGAGCCTACTGCGCAAAACAGCAAATCTCCCGAAGTACTCTTGCGGGGTCTCCCCTACTTTCATCTCAAGAGCGTGATATTGAGATGACAGCCTTTCTTTTTCGGCCCTGGCACGCGGCTCGTAATAATTGAGGAATATCTTCCAACCTCCACTAGGGCTCCCATCGGCGATGATCTGGGTTAGGATTGGCATGTATGTCACTGTCGTGATCAGCAGGTTCCACGCCGTTATTGCCTTTTCTACCCTTCCACTCGAATGCACCCTACGCATCTCCTCCATGCTCACGCCTTCTTTCCCAACTGGAATCTTTTCTTCAGTCAGTACTACGTCACGCACTCCTTCCTGGGCAAACATAGCTACCATGTTCGACCGAAAAATCAAGAACTTAGCCTGCTCATCCTCCCCCTGCTTAAATATACCATCCCAAGGCGCTTGGCGCTTTGTCTCAGTCATTCGAACCGTCCCTGTACTCTACCCATGTCCCCTGATGAGACGTGAAGTCGACCGGTGAGGGCGTCGGCGAGTGTGCGGGCGATTTCGTCGGTCGTCGGGTTGGCCGATGGCCGCCCCGCGTGTTGCTGGTGGCGATCCTCGTGCTCTCTTCCGGTCCGGACGTCATCTGTCCTCCGCTCCTCTGCTTCTTGCCTCGACATCTCGGCCAGTCTTGCTTCTACCCTCTGTTCGACCAAGTAGTTGATCCGGGCTTCCTCCTCTGCTAGTCGGGCGCTCACTCGATCTTGCTCGGTGTCGCTCATCGGTGGCTGCTGCTGATCGCCGCAAAGCGATACTCCAAACTAAGCTCGACTCGAATCTCGTAGACGACGTGTCATACGCTAGCGTGATCGATAATTCGGGTGGCTCAGTTGTGTGTGATGGGAGCGTAGAGCGGCTCGGCCATGACGGGCCGCACGGGTAGGTAAAGACGTGTAGACGTGGTGAAAAACGTGTTGTATTCATCGGGGGCGTGCTTGAGCTCGTCATTCCATCACGGCATCAAGTCACGCATAACGCTTTAATACCCAGAACGAATCTCCATGAATCTCCACCAATCTACTACACTCCCAAGGAAAACACAAAGAAACTTCTTGTCCCTCCGTAGTTCGTCACTGCAATCCCCGCATATGTATACGCAATATACCACCCCCATGCTATGCTACGAGTATATCGAATAGGCAGCACGTGTCATGGACAGGTAGACGTGGAATAGCGGCGACAGGTGAAGGCAGCTGCAGCATGTCATGCATGGTGTACATAGCGTAGTCCATCCTTCGACCACACACAAAGGAGCGCAGTACATGCATCCTTCGACCACACACACATAGAGGAGTTTGTTCGTACCTGTGGGGATTTTCGAAGTCCTGGGTCAGCCAAGAGCGGCAGCAAGGAGCAGACGCAGTATGCTACTACAGCTTTACAGTCCGTCCTCCTCAAGTCCTATCGGAGATGATTAGTATCGCACAACGGCTGGATCCGAAATGCCGGCTACCTGCGCAATCCAAGAGAGGTAGGTAGCTGATATAAAAACGGGATGACTGCATGCGTGCTCCTCTCAGCAGATAGATGTGGCTGGCTGGCTCTTTGAAGTGCAGATTTCTGGTTCTTCAGCGGAAATTGTCGGAATTCCCAATTTTTCCATAGTCACGTGGGTGTATGTGGGAGTTTTTCATGAAATGTTTTTTTGCATGTATGTAGACAGGACGAACGAACGTGATTATGGGGTCACGCCGTGAACATGTTCATGGAGGACCATGGAGCTCTGGGGCCCTTTTTTTCCGCCCCTAGACCTCCGTTCGCCGCGAGATCCGCGCCTGCCGGTAGCCCGGGCCGCGAGGGCCGTGCCTGTGCGCGACTCGCTCTCGGGGCGGCCGTCACGAAACGCTAGCGATGGCAGAAAGTCGCGTCTCAGAGATCTAACACGACTACACCAACCGCAGCCCGGTTTATTGACAACGACCAGGCCATTCGTACATTCCGCAAGCGGCTGACTGACGTCGTGCGTGTGTGCTGACTGCACACTCTCGCCGCACGCGACAACCAAGCAACCAAGTCTACTTATCACACGAGACGAAGCACTCTGCTGCTGTAATGCGTTTCTTTTTCGATCCCAACGAAAGCGGGGGGCTTTGCGCCCGTTATCGTGCGCCCAGCACATCAGTCTGCAAAGTACAAGGGACTGGGTGCGAATCCTGGCGCGGTCCATTTTTCTAGAAGAATATTCTTTTCCGAGAAAATCATTTGGCTCGAGTGGCTCACAGAGGGACAGGCTCCGCAATCCACCGACAAAAGAGCTTTTTTAAAGCCATCTGACCCCAAAAACTCTCTGGCAGAGCACATGATATAAGAGGACTACCGCTGTGGGACGAGGGCTCGCCCTCCTGTGATACGGCACAAACGTTTCTACTTCGAAGTTGTTCTTGCTGCAGTGTTGTTTCTTGCCCGGTCTATGTGTATGCTTAATTTTCTGTCCTCCGGCCATCGCATGTTCATTACTTAATTTGTGGTGGGGCTCCGCTCTCCAGCAATGAAACGTTTCACACACATTTTCACTTCTCGACTTGGAGCAGCTTTGGAACAGATCGCTGAAAGGTAACGTTTGGGCTCTACACAGTGGTCGGTACAGTAGTACGGATAGAGTGGCCATTCACTTTCCAGTTCCAAACCAGAGCCGATATAACCCGATTCCCGCTGGAAGCGAGTCACTAGCTAGAATCGTTTTGGGCAGATGTGTTGTGGGTACCTACCTGGTGCTTGAAGGCTGTTGCTTTGGCTCTTGGGGATTTCATAGGCGCTACCATCGTCGCTCGTATCGCTTCAGTAGCAAGTTTGCCTAGCCCTAGTCTTGTTTTTGTTTTTGTTTTTTTATGTTGACCTGCATCTCTATAGAAGCTTTCACTACGTCTGACTTTCTCATTCGGTTTTCCGATTGGGCGAGCCTATCTGCCGCGACCCTTGCTTTTTTTTCGCGAACGTGACCGCCACCGATGCCTCGGCCTCTTGGCGTTTCGTTCTAATCATCTTGCGGCGCTGCGAACCACAACAACCGCTAGGGGCGACGTACACGTCCGCCTTTGTCACAGTAAGCACCACGCCGGTATTCAAGCTGCCCGAAAGAGTGTCGGTTCGTCAAGAGCTCGGTGAAATAGTCACTTCTGGTGTGATATGGCTCAAGCCATGGTACCACGGCAGTATGTAGCACATGTACCTGGCACTAAACAACCACTACAACAATCACGTGAGAACAGAGGGCACCGCCTACTTCACCACGCCGCTTGTTGGGGGTCTGTAGGAGTGCCGTTATGAGGCAGACACGCAGCAGCGTTTCAGGGCGTGAACGAGAGCGGCGAAATAGCTCTCGTTGACAGCTCACTCGACGCGTTCCCTCTATAACACAGACGCTTCGGGTTGGTTACGGCCTTCGAAAACGGGCCGAGCCAGTGGCTTCACGCACGGAGGCCATCAGGTGACATTTGCAAGATTAAAGAAGCCTTGGTTTCATCGTTCGGGGAGGCTATCGATAAACGTAAGAACTGTGTTCGGTTGGACGACAACAACCTTTTTGGCAACAGCGGCTGCGCGTGGGGGGGGTTGCCTCCAAGCTGTGTGTGCTGAATGGTGCAGGTTTCACGCGCCCAGCGTCAACCTACCCGCGGTCTGAGTAGTAGTGCGCTCCGAGGGAGTGCTACCCCCCTCCCGAATGCCTGCCGAAAGTTGTGAACGTCCGTCAGGCTACGCTGAGATCCCCACACGGAGAGAAACAGAAACTACGTCGGTATTCTTGGATACAGCCGTATGACTGACCTTGGAGCAGCCATTTATGTGAACTGTGGCGGTGGCGTCGGGTTTCGAGTCGAAGATGGTCGAATTCCCTAAGCAACCTGCTCTTCTTTCCCGCGAGGGACCGGCAGAGCTGTATCCCGTCCGAACGAGGCCTTGAAGAAGGAGCACACGCTCTCTCGCCGTCTCGCCGTTGTCCAGGCCGAAAGTGGCCTTGTGACGGAACGGAAACACCATTACAGGATCAAGATATGGTATGGCATGGGCGGGTCGGTGGTGAACGTAGGTGGAAGAAGGGGGTCCATATATAGTGGTCGAGATGGACAAGAGAATTCTGTGTACGAAAGACACGTCTGACACAGGGATGAAGCGCACTGTGCCAATCGGGCCTGGGGAGACTGCAAGAGATGAGCACGGCTTCGGGGGTAGGTGGCTGGGGATGGTGGAGGTCGAGAGGGCGCGTGGGAAAGACCGGCAAGCTCAGTCTTATGTACCAGGAGAAACGTCAATTTTCATATGCCATATGTAGGTGCCATACACAGAAACGCTCATCTATTCATGAGCCACCATGTCGGCAGGCTCTAGAACATTATATGACGTGTCCCATTCACGAATTTCTAGCTCGGAAACCCCTGGACAGATGGCGATTTCTCCGGGATGAACTTGTAGTTTCACCAAACCAAATATATCCGTCGACGTGAGCCTTCTTGATTTCTATTTAGCGATCGACGTAGATTCGTTAATATTAGTGAGAGCCATCGGCAGCAAAAAAAGCCACCGGGACAGATTTAACTTGGCGTCCGCCAATCAGCTGTCTCCCTTTATTTTTGTGCCTACTTGGCGTCTTATTTATCTATTTTCGAGTAATTTTGGTAATTACCGCTTTTTATTCTGCGCGCACCGCATTCGAAACAACCAGTTCAGAGTTCGACACACATCAGGCGGTAGCCTGCGGGCTGCAACTGGCGCATACCAGACGCCAACAGCAGCAGAGACCACTCTGGTCTCTGCGTGCACGAAGTTTCGCAATGTCAAACGACACTGAGTGTCCATGACGAGTACGTACGCAGCAGCACCCGCCAGAAGAGATAAAGCGAGGAGAGGGAGATCGCACCAACACGCACGCACGCATCACGCGCACACACGCGATTTTTATGTGTCGAGCTACTGCACAGCAGTAGTAGTACCACACCCAGGGATCCATGCATGCTTTTATATCATCTGCACGCCCGTTCTCTCGCCAGAACACTTCAAGCAACGTGATGATGATGATGCTCTCTGGCATCTCCACTTTTTTTTTGGCTCTCTTGAAATCTAGACTAATTCCTATCTATATATACTACAGAAGAACTCGTCCGATTCCTTTCCTTCACTGTTTCAATGTGGAAAAAGTATGCCGTGGCGTCGCTGATGAAGGATGCCTACGAAAGGCCACATCTTCGTTTTTCTCCAAATCTACTCCAAGATGTAGTCGCCGTGCAGCCGGTGTGATCAATGAGTTCATACCTAGCCAGCTTCGACCGCCCAGATGTCGTTGCTATGTAGTTTACGAGCGCACTGCTGTATGTAGCACAGGTCAAAACTTGAGCAATCCGGATCTTCCCATCAACGCAATCAATCTTGCTGTTCCCATCATCAGCGGAGTGGATAACATTATTGGGTCTTGTCTTTTTGCTGTTTTCATGGTGCTCCATGGTGCACCATGAAAACATGTTCATGGTAGTCCATGGTGCTCCATGGAGCACCCAAACTGTTGTCCATGGTGCACCATGAACATTCCCATGAACATGTCCACGTCTGTCTTTTTTGTCCATGGTGCTCCATGGAGCTCCATGAACAAAACTAATAAAAGAAAAGTTAACAATTCAAGCACGAGAGGCTCTAGAGCCGCGACAACGCCAGGATTGCCAGCGCTGCAATTTCGTGAGCCCTCAGTAGGTCTACGGTCAAGCTATTTACGACACCGCACAATATGTTTCGAAACCACATCCATCCCCTGTGTCCCTATGGCGCTCAGCTGTCGCGCAAGACGTCGTTCGTCTCATAGTAACCGGTGGTTGCCGACATACGTGGCCGCAGCACCACCTCGGTGGTGTCGAAAATAGGCCCATATTTACGAAAAAGGACCATCTTTACGACACCGCGCGAAACTCTCCGAGAACAAATTCAACGGGCACGAAACCTATTTTGCTGTTTCCCCGCGGCCACTAGCTGTCGCGCCAAGCCAATATTCGGCCGGAACCAACATGTGGTTGCCGAGATTCGCCAAACAACGTGGCCTTAGCACCACCTCGGCGGTGTCGTAAGTAAGCCCGTATCACCGCGCGAAACTTTCCGAGAACACATTCAACGGGCACAAAACCAAATTCGCGTGTTCTCCCGGTCACCAGCTGTCGCGCAAGGCATCATTCGGCCGAAGCCAACATGTAGTTGTCACTATACATGTACTGACCTACAAACTGCCATTCTCAAGACCGCCCGAGGGCGCGGGTGGGTCGGCTACATAATCCACAGAGAAGACTATCTCCATCACTGCATGCAACCGGATGGGAAAATTGCCCACTCTGGAAAGCATATTCAAAGCATTTTGGCCAGCGCACAGCACCCAGAGGTGCATAGGCGTTCATTGTGGAACGGCCCCGACTACGAAGACGAAAACGTAAACCTCGGTGGCGGGAGGAGTGGGGAGTGCAAACGAGGGTACCCTCTGTGTCGCTCAACAACGTCAGCAATAGCGTGCGGGTCGGAAACTACTGCGGACGGTGGAGAGGTTTCGGAGAAGGGCGATGCGCGGGGTCAGAAGGTGGGATGACAGGTGCTATTTTCCTACCCTGTCACAGTTGGTGCGGAGTATTTCTCCGAATACCGCAGAATACGCCCCGAATTTCATGGACGGAAGGAGTGAAATACATCAGGCCCGTTTTCATGGAGTCCTAATATTCCACCGACATGGTACCATTTTGGTATGTCGTGTGAGTTTCGCAGTATTTTATCATCCAGTTCTTCAACAGTAAGGTACTGAAAGAACAGAGTTTGGCTTCAGATGCGTATCGGTTCCCTCCACGAGGAAGAGTGAAATATATATTTGACAATGACGCCCAGCGATGTCATGCTTCTGATGTGATCAACCCCGCGAGATGGGTGTGTCGGATTCAGGACTCGATTTCAAACCAGAACTTGGAAATCCGAAAGTCCTGCCAATGAATGTCTTCGGGAAGAATTCATAAATGAACTTCGTGAAGACCGTGTTTCGGTGGAGCTCAGTTTCTTCAACGACCCATACCATTTTCCTTTGGGATGTCACAGAACTTTGGCACAACCTTCACTCCGAATACGACACCCATGTCGCGCTACTGAACACGCAGAGTTGCGTTTCAGATGCATATCGGGTCCCTCCTTTCCGCCACCGAGATTTAGGCTTACGTGTTGGTAATCGGGGCCGTTCCACAACGAACGCCGATGGACCTCTGGGTGGTGCGCGCCGGCCAAAGTGCTGACGAAACTGCTTGCCAAAATGTTCAGGTTTCCCTTTTGTTTCTATGCAGCGATGGAGGTAGTCTTCTCTGTGGATTATGAAGCCGATCCACCCCGCGCCCTCGTTCGGCCGTCTTAAGAAAGGCAATAAATAATGTAGTTCGACGTCGTAGCAGCAACCGCATGTTGGTTTTGGCCGAATGACAACTTGCGCGACAGCTGGTGGCCGTGGGGACACAGCAAAGTTGGTCTATTGCCGATCGGATGTGTCCTCGGAGGTTTCGCGCGGTGTCGTAAATATGCCTTACTTACGACACCGCCGAGGTGGTGCTGCGGCCACATTCTTGGGCGTATCTCGGCAACCACATGTTGGGTTCGGCAGAATGATGGCTTGCGCGACAGCCGGGGGCCGTGGAAACACAGAAAAATTGGCCTGTCCATGGGAGGTGTTTTCGGAAAGAATCGCGCGGTGCCGTAAATATGGGCTTATTGGCGACGCCGCCGAGTTGGTACTGCGGACACATTCTTGGAGGTATCTCGAGCACCA